ACCGTCATAATACATTCCAACAATTCTTGTTGTTATCACTATGTTACACTTACTGGGTCATGCATGTGTCCAATATTCATGAGTGTTCTAGAAATCTTGCAAAGATCTATACAAGTGGCCCTACTCAACTCTCATATAGGTGATTTCATCAAGCGTATGCTGCAAATCATACACCATCTATAAGGGATATGAAATTATTAAAAACTTTGTTTAGACTAAAATTCGTATACCACAAAGAATTTTAATTATAAAGTTTAACCTCTCAATGACATAATATTTAACACTTACACACCATAAGAATGAACATAATTGATTTTAATCAATTTTAGTGTTAGTAAAACCAACAAGTGACTTATTTTACCAATATGAACCTTATTCATGGAATCTCTAATCACAAAGGTTGAGTTACCACCACTTGTTTGTTTGTAAGTGACTTGAGTCACATTCCCCTCGATGTTTCTAAAATCATATTTCTTCCTAAGAGTTTCGTTAGAGAATCCACTAGATTTCATTATGACTTCACATAGTCAATGAAAATTGTGCCACTCTTTAGCAGCAGTTTCACCAAATTGTGTCTCAATTGTATATGTTTATTCTTTCCATTATAATTCTTGTTTTTAGCTATAACTATTGCCGATTGACAATCATAATGTATTGACACAGACGAGGTTGATTTCATTCTTAACGAAGTATTTGCTAAAAAGTTTTTCAACTACTCAGCTTCACTACTAGCCATTTCAAGAGCAACAAACTCTAATTCCATTATTGATCTTGCAATAATCGTTTGCCTGGATGTTCTTCATGTCATTGCACCACCCCCAAGTGTAAATATATAACCACTAGTGGATTTTTTTCATGTGAATAAGATATCCAATTAGCATCATTGTACCCTAGTATAATGGAAATCCACTATATTTAATATCATAATCCATTGAACCTCTGAAGTATTTCATAAGTCTTGCAAGTGCATCTCAATGTTCTTGATATGGACATTGAGTGCACCTACTTAGTCTATCTATTGTATAAGCAATGCTTGCACACTTTATTCTCTTGACTAGGAACAAGACACCCTTTAGGTTGACAATATATAAATTTCCTCCTCTAATTCATTATTCAAAAAGGTCGTCTTAACATTCATTTGGTGTATGATTAGCTTATGGATAGCTACTAAAGCTAACAAAACTCGAATAGAGGAGATCCTAGTCACAGGAGCAAAGGTATCAAAATAATAAATGTTGGGTTTTTGAGTAAAATCATTTGCTACTAATCTTGCTTTATATTTATCTATGGATCCACCGAGATGATATTTTTTCTAAAATATCCACATATAACTAATGAGTTTGCTCCTTTAGGAAAATCTACTAAAGTCTAAGTATTATTTTTATCAATTAAGTCAATTTCAGTTCTAATGGCTTTATCCCAATGTGTTATATTAGGAGCACTAGTATCCTTTAAAAAATTCATTGGATCATTTTCAACTAGATAAGTGTAAAAATCATCTCCAAAGGAGATTTTCTTTCTCTATCTTTTACTTCTTCTCAAATCGTCATACATGTCATTGCTATTAATATCTATAGGTTATTTAGGTCTCACTAACCTTTAAAGAGAAAATTTGTTCAAAGAATTCAACATTTTTTGTCTTCACTATAGTATTATGCTCAATTACATCACTCTTAAGGATAATAAACCTATAGGCAACACTATGTTTCGCATAGCCTAAGAACACACAATCAAAAGTTTTAGCTAGGCACCTCCACACTCTTAGGTATTTAAGATTAGGTTGATAACTTCTCCATTACTCATAGGGAGTTTTATCAGTTTTCTCATGTGGTATCCTATTTTGTAAAAAATATGTTGTAACTTCTCCTTAAATGTTATCTAGATGCACTAAAACTAATAAGCATGACATTCATAATTTCTTTAAGAATTCTACTTTTTCTCTCAGCTACTCTATTATAGTGGTATCACTTCATGAAGAATATATTCTTTAACACAATAATCATTAAATAATACATATTCACCACCTCTATATGATATAATCCTTTTAATTGATTTTCTATTTTTGCTTTATAGGTTAAGAACATGTCAAACGCTTCATCGTTATATTTGATTAAGTATACTTTTGTGTATCTAGTGTAGTATCTATAAATGTTACAAAATAATTTTTACCACTTCTCGACATGATTTGTTTGAGATAACATAGATTAGTCAGAATTAATCCTAAAAGTTCAGTTTAACATTCTACTGGGTGACACGTCTTTTTTATTATTTATATAAATATATCACATTTCCTACTTTGTTTTTCATGCATATTAATTAATCATAGTCGTTGCAATTTTATAATATACGAGGAATTTATATGTTCTAATATAGTATGTCACATATCATATGAATCAACAATATAAGCAAAAGAACCAAATTCATTAACAACTTCAGAGATGTTAAGTGCAAAAAGACCTTGATCATAATATCCCTTCCCCACAAACACATTATTTTTTTCCATAACAATATTATTAGATTCAAATGACACTTTAATCCCAATTTTTCCAAGTAGTGTTACAGAGATTAAATTAACTCTGATTGATGGTACATGTAACACATTACTCAAGACCAAAATCTTCATATATGTGAGCTTTAGAAGAACTTTTCCTTTTCCTAAGACACAAGTTGTCCTAGAATCATCAAGATAAACACGTCTTTTTCCACCCCACATCCGTGTAGGAGGTAAAAACACCTCTATTTGCACATATGTGTTAGTAACACCAAAATCTACCACACATTTGCTCACATTTGTCATAAGATTTATTTGGAAAATGACCGCAATAATTATATTTTCTCCTTCGACTAACTTTTTCTTAAGAGGTTTGTCGTTTCTTATTTTACGTCCGCACTGACGTGAATGATGACCTGACTTTCTATTGATAAAACAATTTCCTTTCTTCTTGAAGGTCGAGTTAGATCTATTAGGACGAGAATTTTTAAAATTATTTTTCTTCTTATAATTAGGTTTTTTCTCATACCCTTTTGGAGTTAATTTGTCTTCTACCATATGTGTCTTAACTGATAACAACTTAGTCCTTGCAGCAATACACTCATTTTCGTTTGGTATCTTTGATAATGATGTGCGTGATAAGATTTAATAGTGACATCTATTATGTATGTGCTTCAGCTGTTGTTTGTAGTCTGTCCAAGATTCTGAAAGTTTTTCGATTAGAAGTTCTAAAACGAACTCAACGGGTAAGACTATGTTTTCAACTTTAATATCTTCAAACAGCTTGTGGTACTCATTGAACTAGATCCTTGTCTTCTAGTTTATCCCAACGGTAATAGTTTATGATAATAAACATTTGTCTAACGATATCTTGGTCAGTGTATTTTAGAATCAACAAATCCTAGATATCTTTGGCTTCCTTATAGGAATAGTACACAACGAGTGAATCATTAGACAATGCACTAAGCAAAGTGTGTCTATATACCTTTTTCGAATGAATCAAATCTTTAATCGGTTCAGTAGGAGTACTGGAGTCAGGTTTGGTAGTTGTAAGAGTGAAAACTACTTCATACATGTCTAATAGAGTAGAAATGCGTTCCTGCTAACGTCCAAGATTTTGCCCAAAGAAAATTTCAATCAAAACGTTCGACAAAGCTTTTGGAAACATTGTTTATCTTTTTGGTGAAGAGTTGTTGTTGATATCCATATTATCAGCCATAAGTTCTTAAGATTGTTGCAAATACTAACAAAAACACCAACAAAACTTGATTTTTAAGACATGTATAATCATTATCTTTAAGAACTTATCTGTGATGTATTGTGTAAGTTTCTTAGGATACAACGTAAATTTTTCATATTTTCCGAGGAACTCCAAATCTAACAATTATCTCTTAAAAGAGCATATAAACCCAAAATAAAAAAGAATAGAAAAAAAAGAGAAGAAAAAATTAGTGAAATATATTTATTGGAAGAGAGTAAAATTATTTATTGATAGATATAATATGGCTAAAAGACTCGTCTCCGTATAACAGCTTCTTTAGAAGAAACGTAAACCCTTGTGCCTGAAAGTCACATGCCACATGTTATGTGGGTAAGTGGCGTTTGGAATTGTGGGTTAATCGTGAATGCACTTCGTGGGTCAGGGTTGTGCTTTTAAGTTTTACCATACCCTTCTTCTTCTACAACATTTTTTACTCTATATTTTTTCTTTCATACAAATAAATAATTTTATACATATAAAAAATAGCGTAATATTTTTTAATTTTAATAATTTGTTTCAATTATTTGAAATAATAATATATTTTTTTAACAATTATTATCACTAACTTTTTTATAACATGTTCTTATCATTAGGGTAGTCTGATTCATTATGACTTGTATTAATTAATGAGTACAGTATTGCATTCTGCACCCCACCATAGTTGTGTTATGTCTTTAATACTAGTTTCCTAATCCTAATTGCTTTCCTTCTTTCGATGCTAAACACAAATTGGATTTGAATTCGATCAGCGTAGCCCTTTTCATTGATTATTGTGAAGCAAAGTTTCATACACATAGATTCCGTCCAGGTTCATTCCTGGCTCCTGCTACCTCCAAAAACATCAACCCTTTTCGATTCTCAGTGTTTGTCAGACCCTATGCATTTTGGTGAAACGTATCTACTTTCCACGCGCTTTATGCAAACCACACCACCGCGTGCTTCACACTGCTTTCCATTTTTTAAAAAGAGTAGTAATTATAATATCATACTAATAATTAAAAATTAAAATAAAATAGAGTGCAAGTGCGCGTGCGCGTGAGACATTCCTCCGTGAGCGAATATAAGTATCTTTGAAAGCGTTCTCGTGGTTGGCACGTGACTGAAGAAACAAAACCCACTTTCTCATTCTCAGCACCAGTGACTCTACCACCACTACCACCCAATTGAGCTGCTTTATTTTCAATCTACGCACCACAAAACCCTTATTCCTCTTCTTCCTCATCGTCATCTTCTACTTTTCTTCAGCTCATGACGACGTCGTTCGGAGCAGCTACAACCTCAGCCACGCTCAAGGACCCTAAACTTCAGATCCCAAGCTTCCATGGCTTGAGGTCTGCGTCCGCCTCTGCTCTCGCACGCAATGCCCTCCCGCTTCCTTCATCCACTCGCTCTCTCTCCATCACGCGCGCTGTTTCCACGGTTTATTTTCTTCTTCGTCGCTTTATTCGCTTCAATTCATTTTTGTCCTGTTAGTTATTATAAATCCTTTTAATTGTCAATTTCAGCTTCTGTGTTTGATTCATTTAATACTGTTATGCAAAGTGACATGATGATTTTGAAAAATACTGGAATAATGTGGAATCCTGATTTGGTTAGTTGTCGTGGTTGTGATTTCTTTGTAGCCTGTGCAGTCTGAAACTACCACTGTAAAGCGCAGCAAAGTGGAAATATTCAAAGAACAAAGCAATTTCATAAGATATCCTCTTAACGAGGACATGTTAACGGATGCCCCTAATATAAGTGAAGCTGCCACTCAATTGATCAAGTTTCATGGAAGTTATCAACAGTACAATAGAGAAGAGCGTGGTTCCCGAAGCTACTCTTTCATGATACGGACTAAGAACCCTTGTGGGAAGGTTTCAAACCAACTTTACTTGACCATGGATGATCTTGCTGACCAGTTTGGGATTGGGACGCTTCGGCTGACCACCAGACAAACTTTTCAGCTCCATGGTGTTCTCAAGAAGGATCTTAAGACTGTGATGGGTACCATTATTAGAAATATGGGCTCAACACTTGGTGCGTGTGGTGACCTAAACAGGAATGTGCTTGCTCCTGCTGCTCCGCTCGTGAGAAAGGATTACCTTTTGGCTCAAGAAACTGCGGAAAACATTGCTGCACTCCTGTCTCCTCAGTCTGGTTTCTACTATGATATTTGGGTTGACGGGGAAAAGTTCTTGTCATCAGAACCGCCTGAAGTAGTTCAGGCACGAAATGACAATTCCCATGGTACTAATTTCCCAGATTCACCAGAGCCCATCTATGGTACTCAGTTCTTGCCAAGGAAATTCAAAATTGCTGTTACTGTACCAACTGATAACTCGGTGGATATTCTCACCAATGATATCGGTGTTGTTGTTGTTACCGATGAAGTTGGGGAGCCTCAAGGGTTCAACATATATGTAAGATGCATGTACATGGCAGTTGGGTGAATTTTTTTTTTCTTCTACCTTTGTTCTAACTGGGACCTTTTAATTATTCTTGCAGGTTGGTGGAGGAATGGGGAGAACTCATAGGATGGAAACCACTTTTCCTCGCTTGGCCGAACCATTAGGTTATGTACCAAAGGAGGATATTTTGTATGCAGTGAAAGCAATTGTTGTCACCCAACGCGAAAATGGGAGAAGAGATGACCGCAAGTACAGTAGAATGAAATATTTGATCAGCTCTTGGGGAATTGAAAAGTTTAAAAGTGTAGCTGAGCAATATTATGGAAAGAAATTTGAACCTTTCCGTGTATTGCCGGAATGGGAATTTAAAAGTTATCTTGGCTGGCACGAACAGGTTGGTTCTCTAGACGAGTGAATAAAATCTGTCTCTATGCCTGCATGTATAGTCAATGATATTTTTTATTGATGCATTCCATTCATAGTGATAAAGATTTGGAATGATGAAAGTTGGTGGATAGGATTCCCATGTTTAATGTCTTTTTGGGATTTAATAGCTGAGATGGATATTATACTTGCTCTCTCGCCTGTGACGTGTGTAGTTGTTTCAGTTCTGATATGCCTGAAAAGGTGTTCTAAGCAAACTTAAAAACCCACAGAATACCTGGCAGATTAGGTAAATGAAGATTATAGTACATTTTCATATTTTTGGTGCCTTGAAGATTTTACTTATCTCGTTTAACTTTAGATATATATGTATATAGATTCTTGCTCTGTGACTGAGAGTGGCAGCCATATCTCATTCATATGTTGTCAAGCAATCTGTAGTTGGTTCATTCTTGGTGCTATTGTCTTTTGCTAAAATATAGTTCCACGTTCTTATGCTATGTATGGGCTATTTCTTGGATTTCATCTTCTTACAGGGTGATGGGAAATTATTTTATGGGCTTCATGTTGATAATGGCCGAATTGGTGGAAAGATGAAAAAGACATTGAGGGAGGTTATTGAGAAGTATAATTTGAATGTAAGAATCACTCCAAATCAAAACATCATCTTGACTGATGTCCGTGCTGCATGGAAACGTCCCATTACAACTACTCTTGCTCAGGCTGGTCTGCTGGTGAGATGCTTACAGCTTAATGTTTACAGATTGCATTTTTATTGTTTTATGTATTGAACATTGTTTGCTAATAAAGTATATAATTGATCAGTCCCTGCTCACTTGACATTGCTCAAAAGCCTTACATTGCGAGTTTTATTTAGAAATCATAATTGAATTTAGTATTTCCTTGTGTTTCATTGGGAAAAATGCATATCATTATCACATGACAATTGTAAGTTTTAGGTGTTTGTAGATCTAATTAGCTATTGCTGCTGTGATGGATTTTTTTTTGTATGTGTGCAACACTAGGGATAGTTCTTAATTTTTTTTCTTTTTTCAATGCACTTGTGAGTGATGCTTGACATGTATAATGAACTGGTGATTGAAATTTCTGTTATCGTATTTTGGTTAATTTCTTACACTTGGCATGATGCTCAATTGTAGTTTGCTTTCCTATTTGCTTCTCATTATCTACTCGTTTTAATCTCGTCTCTTTCTTTATTTTTAAACTTCATATATTCAGTATGTTGAATTTTTCCATTAATAATACTATAATAACCTGTTTTGGTGTGAACAGCAACCTAGGTATGTAGATCCCCTCAACATAACAGCAATGGCATGCCCTGCTTTCCCATTATGTCCACTGGCAATTACTGAAGCTGAACGTGGGATACCTAACATTCTTAAGCGGATTCGGGCTGTTTTTGATAAGGTATTGCCGCAGATACATATGGCAGTATTGATTTGATGGAGATGACAAATAGGGATATTTAAAACTTTTCTGTCTGCAATTCAGGTTGGTCTGAGGTATAGTCAGTCTGTGGTTGTAAGGATAACTGGCTGCCCTAATGGTTGCGCAAGACCATACATGGCTGAACTTGGATTGGTTGGTGATGGCCCAAATAGTTACCAGGTTTGCTAATCAGCAGCTCAACCCACTTACAGTTGATAGAAAATTCAAAAGACTATCTTCTTCACTTTTCTTTTCATGTTCAGATTTGGCTTGGAGGGAACACTAAACAAACATCATTAGCTCGAAGTTTCATGGACAAGGTGAAGCTTCACGACCTTGAAAAAGTTTTGGAACCTTTGTTTTATTATTGGAAGCAAAGGCGTCAATCTAAAGAATCATTTGGTGACTTCACAAACAGAATAGTGAGTTTTGACTCTATACTTTGTATTTGCATGTGATATGTACTAACTCTTGTTTTAATCTTTAAAATGATTATTATGGTTGTTAAAGTGATGGGTAAGTTTGGCCTAAGTTACTCCAATTTCTGTTTCTAGGGATTTGATAAGCTTAAGGAACATGTTGAGAAATGGGAAGGTCCAGTAGTAGCACCATCACGCCACAACCTCAAGCTTTTTGCTGACAAGGAGACATACGAAGCAATGGATGAATTAGCAAAGCTTCAAAACAAAAGTGCTCATCAGTTGGCCATGGAAATTATTCGTAATTATGTTGCTTCCAACCAAAATGGAAAGAGTGAATGATTTCATTTACTTAGCCAAGGAAGATGCATGTGATGTTGCATTGTGGTTTACAGGAATGGTGGATGGGCAACTGAACACAACTCTCTGTTGTTACTGTGCGGTAACTCTGGGGATAGACTAAACTAATGTTTGAGTTATTAAATATTTTTTTATCTGAGTCAGCTTTTCCTAGAATCTTTTGATTCATTTTCATCGAGTTTCTGAACACAAAATAAGCCTTCCTATCATTTCTGTATCAAATTTTGGCTGTCAGACAGCTTGGTTTTTCTCCGCAATAATGTTGTTAGGTAAGATCTTTTTGTTTTCTTGTGCTTGCTCCAATAAAGTCCGTCAATCAAGATTTGTAAATTGCAATCATGTTGTTAGTTAGTGATTAATTACAGAATATGATGTGGGAAACATATGGTTGTGTTCACCTGTGCAGTTTGGTTATTGTTATTATTATGATATAGCAGTTATTCTTGATAGAATATTTTGCACGAAAGAAAACTTTGAAGTTAATACTACACGTTCTATTTTTACTTTCATGTTTCATCTTTGAAACATTTCCTTTTTATTTAGATTCTTTAAGTTTTTTATATCAGTACATAAGTAATCAGGTTGATGGGATGGTAGTTAAGTGTAATATCAACCTAGGTTACTTAAAAAAAAGTCCACACTGTTAAATTTGTCTGTCTTCGAGTCTTGTTAGGAATGGTTAATGGTATTTAAGGTGCGATGTTTTACGTACAATATTAAGCTAATTTTACAATAAATATTTTTTGAAGTTATTAAATATAGTCATTAGTTATTAAAAGTTTAATGCTACTGAGAAAAAAAAAAGTGTTACTGGGGGTACTTTTAGAATGTTTAAGCCGAAGCAAACGTCGCCTATCAACCCAAATATGGCATATACTACTACATCGAAATTAAATCCATGTTTTAAGGCTAATTCTCTGAAACTGGCTGTGTTTTTTTTCTTTTTTACGTTTGGGGATTAAAAATAAATCAAAATTACGTGATAGGGTCAAGTTTGAAAAATTACAAAGTTGGGTTAAATTATGTTTGGAAGCAAGATAGGGAAAGCATGCTGTTATAAAATCAATGAGTCGTGATATTTTGACAACCACACACCATACAACCTTTCAAACAACTCACTTTTATTAATATAATAATCTATAGAATAATTTAATAAAAATAAAAATAAAATAAAACTATTATTATAATATTAAAAGAGAGTTGTTTATAGAAGTTGTATGCATTTGAGTTGTCAAATTATCATTTTTCGAAATCAATTTAAGGAAAACATGTTGGTATGATTTCAGTTGGAAGTGATTTTTTTTTTTGAAAAATATAAATATTTGATTTTTTTAAATATACTATTTATAAATTAATTAATTTCAATTGAATTATTAATTTAAAACAGAGTATAAAATTATTAAGAGAGATAAAGACATAAATAAATTTTTATTTCATAGAAATAAACAAATTACATATTTTTTGTTGAATACAAGTTACAAAAAATTTAATGGTTAGATCCTGCTCATAGGGTGGTTTTCTAATTTATGGTCTTGATCTATGTGATTGATGATAAGTAGATGTTTATTGTACTCGTATAACACATCTAGGATGATATATTGATTTGTGTTAAATGTTTATTTCCTTATTATTATCATCCTCTTTAATTGCATGACATGTTGGATATATAAAAAAAGAAACTTAATTATATTTTCAAGTTAGTGTCATGGAAGATGTGAAAAATATATTTGGTTCAGAGAGAAATGAAGTAAATGTATGAGAAATTTGACCTTGAAATTGAAATTGACGAGGTAAATTTTGAAGTTGGTCAACATATTCAAAAAATAGATAAGATTATTGATTAGTTGGACAAATAACTTACTGACCAATGTATTCCTCACTTAATTGAGCAATATGTTGATTAGTCTACTAACCAACATGAACATGACTAGATTGACCAACATGTTGGTGTTGTTGCTCTTGTTGTGTATCATATTGTTGAAAAAAAAATCAAGTTTCATATGAATATTAATATATATATATATATATATATATATATATATATATATATGTGTGTGTGTGTGTGTGTGTGTGTATAAATATATATAATAAAATAAATTATATACTTATTTCATTGTTTGATTTTTCTTGTCTGAATAGAGGAAATATATATATGATAGTGTGCTTGAAAATACCATATCATATATAGTGTATTTTCGCACAAGTGACCGTTTCCGTGAAACTTGTTTCCTTAATTAAGTTTTTACTACACTACTTAATAAAAATGAACAACGTTTTTTAATGTGTTATGTTCAAATGTACAATCAAGAAAATACCTTGATGTACAATACCAATTAAATCCCCAATATTATCGAAAATCAATAAGTTACATAGTTCGATTAATTTAATGGTGGTGTGATGTGGAGAATTCTAAGTTCTTTGGTTTCCTTATTTTCACATTATTGTTGTTTGTTCATTTTGTCATTTATAACTGATTGCATTTATTAATTTGGTTTACAAGTTAGAAAACATTTATAAGACATGTAAATTTTAATCCATTCGATTCGAAACAAAGATTATTGGTCTATTTATACAAGTTCAATTTTTGTCCATAATCTAATATGTGTCAGAGATACCAGGAAGACCTACAACTACTCAGATTTAGAATAAAATGGATGTACTAGTTAGAAAAAAAAACAAACAAATATTCATTTTATTGAAAATAAAAGATATAATTGTGGAAACTATTCTTCTTCTAGACAATAAATTTGTATTATTTTCTTTCAAATAATATAATATGTTAATCTCTTTTAATTTAAATTTATTCACGTTATTACTTTTCTTATTTTTGTTTTTCATTTTAAATTAATAATTAAATTAAAATTAATTAATTTATAAATAATGTATATAAAAAATCATATAATTCTATTTTTATTTAAATTAACTCTAAATCATGATAGATAACACTACTTTAATAAAAGAAAAACCTCAAATTACCTAATATAATTTAAAAAAACTTACAACTAAAATCATTATATGTAATTTTGGGTCATGTATATATATGATACATAATTTAAATGTGTTAGGGTCATTATTTATTAAGCCAAATAATAAAGTGATCTGACTAAATTAAAGTTTTGACTAAAGGCATATGTCATGAAAATAAAATTGTGTAGAGACCATAAGATCAATATAGTGCTTTACAAAGACATCATCGTTATGACTAATTCGAGTACGCTTTCGCATTCAGTTTACAACATATTTATCAGTATGAGATTATGTTTATGTTTGATAGTTAGAATCAAAATCAGGATTATTATTATTATTATTATTATTATTGTTTTTTCCAACAATTGGTATCAGAGCCGCCCATATTTGATTCATGTCTGCTTAATTTATAGAACCCTAATTATGAAAATTAGGATTAATTTTATTTTAAACAATTCAAATTACCCAATTTTATGAACCCTAAGTGGAGAATAATCTCTAATTTTCGTGAACCCTAAAATTTAAATTTGGGGGTAACATCCCCAATCTGATTCTACTTGCTGATGGAACCGTGGAGGAAGCTATGGATTATTCTTCTTCTTCGTTTTTCCCTTTTGTTTCAGTTTAAGTTTCAAGTTTTACTGAGAAAGAAATAATGTTTCAAATTTCAATCTTTCTTGTATTGGATTCTCTGTTCTTTTTTGAATCTTTTGTTTTGGAATTGGGGGTGGTGTTTGGGGAATTCCCAACATAGAGGATCTTAGGCAACTGGTGAATGTTTTCACATGTGTGGTCATTATTATTTTATTGCCTCTATCCCCTAGGAATTTAAGGAAAATTTGATGTTAAATTAGGGTTTGAGTGATTACTTGTTTAATCCCTTTTAGGGTTTAGAGCAATATGCTAAAGAGACTAAGAACTATATCTGTTTCATCCCTAGTGTGATTTTAGGGAGGTGTTCATCCTTAGTAGAATTCTAATGAGGTGATTCTCTTTTGAATTAGTTTGCAAATATTAAATATTTGGTTTTGTTATATAAATAAAATATTCAATTTTTGGTAGTTTAATATTTTTTTTGTGAGCAAATTGAGTCAAGAAGTCACCAAAGTAACTTCTCTTGAATTGGGCAGTTCATGAAAAATATTGAATGTTAGTGTTTGTGTATATTCATGCGAGTATTAGTCGGCCCAAAGGAAGATTAATATTTGGCCGAATTGCATACACACTTGTAATGATAAACATGTGATAATTATAAGGATTTGCTTTGTCGATGATAAATCAATCCAAAGACTGGTTTGTTGTTGGACGTGCTTTATTGTCAATGTTTGATTATTACAACAAGATGCCTCTAGCAGTTAATATTACTTGTCTAAAGACTTGATATTGATGGTGCATTGGGTGTCTTGAGATGGGTTAAACCACTTATTTGAATATATATTATTTATTTTTTATATAATATGAGCATAATTAGTTTATTTCTCGTGTTTTAAATTCAGCTACAATTGCTTCAGTATACGCCAATTTAAATTACGTTTCGGTCCTCAATGGAACAAATTTTAAGGACTCGGAAAAAGAACATTGATATTGTTCTTGGTTGCATGGATATGGATCTTGCGTTAAGGACTGAGCAACCCCCTACTCCTACGGATTCAAGTACCTCTGAACAGAAAAGAGATTATGAGAAGTGGGATCGCTCAAATCGCATGAGTCTAATGATCATTAAGCGTGACATCCCAGAGGTGTTTAGGGGCACTGTTTCTGAAAACATCACAAGTGCCAAAGAATTTCTTGCTGAAATTGAGCAGCGCTTTGCAAAAAGCGATAAGGCGGAGGCAAACACTCTTCTTCAGAACTTGATCTCCATGAAATATCAAGGCAAAGGAAATATCAGGGAGTACATTATGAGCATGTCTAATATTGTTTTTAAACTCAAGGCACTAAAGCTTAAACTCTCAGAAGACTTGCTCATTCATTTGGTGTTGATTTCTCTTCCTACAACGTTTAATCAATTTAAG